CGCGGTTTTGCAAAACGAGTTCTCGAGTTTTAATAAACGATCTTCGAGTTTTATGAAACGATCTTCGAGTTTTTATAAAACGATCTCTCGAGTTTTATAAAACGATCTTCGAGTTTTTATAAAACGATCTTCGAGTTTTATAAAACGATCTTCGAGTTTTTATAAAACGATCTCTCGAGTTTTATAAAACGATCTTCGATTTATAAGAAACGTTACGACCAATTAGCTTCGAACATTTACGACCAATTCGCTTTGACAACTATACATTTGTCGTAATCTAGTCGTATTTTATGATCGATTAGCTTCAATTTTTAAAGTGACTGATCGATGTAATTTGGTCGTACTATAACGACCAATTTACGTCAACGTGGAGTTGTTGTCGTAAATTGGTTGTTATTTAACTACTAATGTACGACTACCATATTTGGTAGCAATATTATGTCAAAATTACAATAAAATGCTTTGTAGTTGTATGGTAGACATAAAATAGATGTTAATTTACGACTATACATATGTGTTCGTAAATTCTAGTCGCTACTCCCACGTTTTCTTGTAGTGTGAAGACTTCTTCTTCTTCTCTTCTAATGTTCATTTCAAAAAAGGTAACTGCAAGTACTCTGCATAAAACAGCTGATGACAAGTGTTTCATTTTGCTTCAATCGTAGTTCAACACACAGAGACTAACAAGGTCTTTAGTTTTAGATTTTACCCGCTTTTGACCGAGGGTTACATAGAATGATCTAATTCCGAAGATCTTATCCCCTTCAATATCAGGTATATCCTGCATCAAAAGCAATATAAAAACCATAGGACTAGAATGCTTTGATTTGAGAGTATACAGAACTAACCATTTTTCCATCTTTTCTTACCTTAAACAATGCAATAACGACATAGAAGAAGCTCATAAACGCAGTGGCGAAAATAAGAGGCCTCGTGAACATGACCGGTCTTCCAAACACATGAGTCTACAACAAAGTTTCACAACTTTGGTAACCAATAGAGATGTTGATGGAAAACTTCAAAACATAAAGCATAGTACTTGAATATGTAGATAAAAGGCAATTTGAACAATGATAGCTCGGTCAGCGAGGATACACATTGCTGCAACCAATGCATATCTTTTCCACCGTAAAAGTGGGAACTGTTTGTAGTAGGAAGAAATTTAATAGAAACCAATATTTCAATAAGAGCAAAACCGATCAAGGTGATAATCTTACTTACATTGATAGAGTATGCAGTACCGAGCATGATACTCACAAAAAGAGCCCAGAATAATGACCATGAACCAACAATCCACCTAAGCCAGAAACTCTATAAGTTCAAAAAAAAAAATCAGATTATCATTATATATTTATATCAACTACAAGTTTTTGAAAATGATTCATACCATTATGGAGCAGGAAGCTACTATTGCAATGCTGATCTTAACAGAATATTCTCCTGACGCCAATGGAAGATATGTCTTGTTAACCTGCAGAGAGCCACATAAAGTTTGATATAAGCCCTATCATATGAAGAACACAAACACAACACCCAAGCCCCTGAAGAGTCATTCAAGGATACTTGGAACATATTCAAGTCCTACCAGCAAGACTGCCCACACCACAGATTCAACAAAGTGCAACTGCTCTGCACTTTCTACAGAGGCATCAGCCTCGATTTCAAGAGAGCCCTTGATACAGCTAGCGATGGCAACTTCACCACCAGGAATCCTCAGAATGCTATCAAGCTAATTGATAACTTAGCTTCCAGTAACAGCACAAGAAACTCTATGCCGCAGACTACATCATCCCTTGGGAAGGAGTACGTCAATGTAGTTCAAGCACATCTAGACAACATTCAGAAGCTCTTAAACAAGCAGATCTGTTCAGTGGAAGATTCAGAAATTATTGAAGAAGATGTCAACTGGATTAGTGAGCCGGTTTTCAGAGATCTGGTAACCAAGGAGGATACAGAAACTTCACAGGCCAGAGAAGCAACTTTAACCAGAGTTCTTAAAAGCCCAACACCTTCAGCAGTAGCAACCCTAACAACAACAGAAGCTATGGAAGTGCCTTCTACTCAACTCCACACCCACCCACCCAAGATACTAAACTGGAGGAGTTGATAGACAAGATACTTGAGAGTCAGCAGAAACTCGAGGTAAACTTCAATGGAAAGATCGATTCTGTCTACACCACCTTCATCACGAAGATAGATGCCCTCAGCACCCATGTGAAGAAGCTAGAGACCCAAGTGTTTCAGACAGGAGAAGCAGTTAAGAAGCAGAAATTTGCCCACACCCAGAACATCAATGCCCTCCTAGATGATGACTTTTGGCAAGAGGTAGTAGAAGAAATCCAGAGATCTGATGATGAGAGTGAAAGAGAGTTCGCCTACGACTACTATCGATCGATATCACCAGCTTTACATCGATCGATATCACCTTCAGTCCGTCAATCGATCGACTTTGACGAGTGTCGATCGATGGACTCAGACGAAAACCCTCGCGAGTGCCATTCCGTCAAGATTATGTCTCACGCCGAATTCGCCGCACTTCACCCACATCCGCCCACACCTGTCATCGATCGACATAATGAGCACGTCATCGACCGATACCAAGACCCTGGCATCGATCGACACACTCTAACCAGTGTCGATCGATACACAGTACCCTAACGCCGAGTGCAGCTACCTAAGATCGACAGTGCAGGTCTTGACGCTTTCCGGGAGAGATATTACACCACCAGAAACCCTACAGCAGCCCTAAAAGAGAGACCCACTGATATTTTTGAGTCCATGGAGATAAAAATGGAAAATCAGGGGAGAATTCGCAGAAAAAGGAAAGAGAAGATACCTAAACCCTATAAAAGAGAAGCTAATGAGAAGGAGTTGTCAAGCTTCAGTAAAAGAGTCATCCGAATACCTAAAGAGAAACCTTTTGAAGAAGCCTACTTTTCACACAGATTGTGGATGTTCTTCAGAGAAACCAAGGAGACAGAAGAAGACATCAAGAGGATGTTTAACCAAGTCAGAGATAGCCTCAAGTAGAAGATAACACTGAAGAAGAAGAATGATCCAGGGAAATTCACAATACCTTGCTCCATTAGAGGTGTTGAGTTCCCACGTTCCCTCTGTGACACAAGATCTGGAGTTAGCATCTTACCCAAGCTCATGGCAGATCATCTAGGTCTGAAGATAGAGCCTTCTGAAGAAACTTTCATATTTGTGGATTGTTCTCAACAAAGCTCTGGAGGCATCGTTCGCAACCTTGAGGTACAGATTGGAGAAACCCTAATTCCTACAGACTTCCATGTCCTCTCCAACAAGCTCAACTTCAAGACTTCTCTACTACTTGGAAGAGCCTTCTTAGGCACAGTTGGAGCTGTTTGTGACCTACAAACCAACAAGCTCTGCCTAACCCTTATCGACCCTTCCATCCATTACGACCATGTTCCAGTCATCAAGTTTCCAAGGCCAGCTAGCTCAACACTCGTAGCCACCTGTTTCTGTGCCCAGGAATTTGATTCTATGGAAGAGTATGAAACCGAAGAAGCAGTATCGACCGATGACACCACTTCACCATCGATCGATACCCTTGCAGCACCATCGACCGACAGTACTACCTGGTCATCGCTCGATGGAGTATTCCGACGGATCGAAGACGAGTTCCCAGACGCCGATTTCAGTGCAGATGAGTGGGAAAACGATCACTACTTTCCCGAGCTCGCTAGTATCACTACTCAGGAGGAGTATGATGAAGATTATGAGGAGGAAATAGCCATAGAGTACCGATTTCTTCGAGAAGATGCAGAACACCCGCCTCATCCGACCTTCCTCCGACGCCCATCAACCGATGTATACCATACACCATCGATCGATATACCTCCACCCAGATCGCTCAAACGACGTTTCGAATCAACGAGCGACGAACCCTACTGCAAACCAGTCTTTGTCCCACACGAACCACGAGACGGAGATTACTCGATTGGAAGCTGGGCCAGCTCTTATCATGAAAGCTTTGCAGTAGATACAGCACCTCTACAAAGCGCGATCCAACCTACAGAACCCGTATCGATCGACATGGAGTTCCAGCCGTCCACTGACATGTTTCACACACAATCGACCGATGAAGCAGTTTCACCATCGCTCGATATCAATCTCCACCCACCAGCCGATCCTGCCACAACACCATCCGAGGTAAAATTACCTATATTCGATTTAAATTCACTAATACCGGATGATTTTGGTATTTTCAGGGATTCAGATGATCATGCACGAGCTATAGATGGGAGAATCATCCCAATCTCCACAGATGATGTTGCAGACATACTTCAGATGGCTAATGGACCAATAACTCCCTCTACACAACCGCCTTGCTACCCAAACGATCCGCACCAGTTTCAACGCCCATCGACCGATGCATGGAGATGCGCATCGATCGGTATACAACGCGAATTTGGGAAGAGAGCCTTCAACAACGGAGTTCGTCGTTTCTTTTGGGAAAAAAGGACGAATATGGAGTCTACAGAGATGAATCTGGCCATGCAAGAGCAGTAAACGGAGACATCATTCCTGTTACCAAAGAAGACATGAGAAACTTGCTGAAGAGAGCCTCATTATTTGGACGTTCTTGTTTCTGTCTACCAGAGTTTGCTGAAGCCTATGCTAAAGGGGTTCCTGATTGTACACACAGGCAGAAGTCACCTATATGCTAAATGAAAGAACCGGAGATCACAACTGGGAGATAGCAGCCATGCAACATGAACATGAGAAGGACCTATCAAGACTTCGAGGTGAACTGCTCTGGAATACCCCCAGCAAGGATTTAGTACGATACGAAAGAGAATCCCTACAAGAAGAAATCAACACCTTGCGCGCACAACTAAATTCTCAGACACAGCCATCGACCGATACAGATCCCCCTGCGTCGATCGATACAGCAGTCCAACACCCGATCGAGCACCACTTACAGAAGCTATCGATCGATGACAAACCCAGTCCATCGATCGATACCCGTGCTCAGGAATTCTGTACCAGGAAAGAACTTAAAGAAACCACAGCACAAATCTACAAATCTATTGAGTTTTGTGGAGACAAAGATTACAAACTACTGGACGAATATTGCTTTCCCCTACACAGTGATTTCAAAGGTCTACAATGCACAATGGAAGATATTCAGAAGGAGGTTGAAGATATTCAAAGACAGCTCGCCAGCCGACCTGACCCATCCCCATCGATCGATGAAGCACGCAACGCATCGACCGATATGCAACCTCCAGAATCGACCGACGATCCAACACACCACGACACCATGCAGCGAACAACAGAACACATCTACAGCATGCTTGGCAACCATCAGTACAGCCTTGCCAACTTAGAGGGGTGGTTAGAAAGGATCCAAACAGAAGTTTATGGTTTGAAGACTAGTATGGCCAGAAGTGCGAAGGCCACAAGAAGCTTTCTAACATCATGGTTTGATGAAACACAAGAAAAGGAGGACACTTGTTTACCAACAAGTACCTGCAACCCACCTCACTAGCCACCATAATTCCACAGTCAAGCTTACTGACTTTAACCAAGCGCTGAGTGGGAGGCAACCCACTGTTAGGTATTTTACTTACTTATTTTATTTTATCTTTACTTACTAGTTTCATTTTTATTTGTTTTTAGGAAATACACACACGATCCATACCTAGGTTACTCGTGGAAAAATCCTAGGCTGTTTGCGGAAAAATCCTTAGGTAACTCGCGGCAAAACCGTAGGTTATTCGTGGCAAAACCCTATGTTACTCGAGGAAAAACCCTAGGTTATTCGCAACAAAACCCTAGGTTGCACGCGAAGAACCTTAGGCTACTCGCAGAATCGGGCAATACTATCCAGCTGAAAAGACGGTGAGTTGGCCAAGCAACCTAGCTTGCCATCTTGGCGAGCTGACCGGCTTTCCACCTTGTCCTAGAGGCACTGACTTTTCCCCGAGGGTCCAAACAATCCAACTCATAGCTATGGTGAGCCGGACCGTACTCTAAACAATAATCGCACTGCTTTTCGTTTCGTCTCAATCAAAGTTTTCGTTGAGATTTTACAACGAAAACAAGATAGCTTGATGAATCGGGACTGTGCTCGCCGACTCACCATTAGGCAAGTTGGACAAGCTCGACGGATCGAAACATCTCCATCTCGAATCTTGATTGAGACGCATTTCGTTTCGTCTCAATCGGACTTTCCGTTGAGATTCTACGATGAAAACAAGTCAACTCGACGAATCAAGATCACCCACGCCAGGCGTCTTAGCTCGCCGAACGTAGAGCTAGGTAGCTCGCCATACGGCGAGCTGAACCAAGCGCCTAGCTCGCCCAAGAGACGCTGACTTCGCCCCAAGGGTTCTTACCATCCAGATCGCCACACGGCAAGCTGAAAGGGTTCGCCCGACTTGCCCTACGTCGAGCTGAACCAATCCTCGAGTTTCTCTCTCGAGTCTTGATCGCGCTGATTCTCGTTTCGTCT